AAAAAAAAAAAAAAAAAAAAAAAAAAAATTTGGAACCTCTTCTGTAGGGGTGGCCTGCTTTCTGGGGGAACCTCTTATATCCGGTTTGGTAGATTTGACGAACCGGTTCTACCGAACTGGTGCAAACTGGTAGGAACCCACCTTTGATGAAAACATAATGAAAATGCTCATTGTAATTCGAATTGGTTAGTCGGTGTGCTCTATGGGGCAGTAATCTTATATTACAGGAAGGCAAACCTTAATGGCTGATTAGGAAATATTCCCTAAAGGTTTGATAGTCAAGCAATGTGAGCAACCATATTTTAAATATGCTTGGATTACTTTCACCAAGCAAGGAATTACATTAGATGTTATAAATGATTCCTAGCAACTCCACCATTTCCCCACCTTCCAGGGATTTCCCCCCTCTCATTGAAAGGAACAAAATAACATAAAATCTTGATTGCACTTCCAATGCAGTTTTGTTTTTCAGACAGGTTTTGCTTCTCTGGGATGGAAAGCTTCTGGCATAGCACCCTTTCAAGGGGATTTTGAAGAAATTAAACACATTAAAAAGTGTTTTTTAATATCTAATGTATAGTCAAGATTAACATTCTTTAAATTCTCCCCGCTATTCTAAAACCATCTCATGTTCAAGCTTGTACTTTTATCTGAAAGCAGAGGGGTATTTGGCCTGCCGTAATATCAAGCAGTTTCCTTGATCAATTTTTCAGATGAGTTCCTCCAAACAATTGGTATTATTTTCTTCCCTACAATGGTTAGATTTGTTTTGATAATGTATTTAATAGCAAAATAATTGTTTTCTACAGATTCATGCCTATGCTAAAAAAAAATTTCACCTCCACTTTAGGCCACATCAGAATATCTGATTTGGGACTAGCTGTTAAAATTCCTGAGGGTGACTCCATCCGTGGACGAGTAGGAACAGTTGGGTATATGGGTGAGTGGTCTGAAATAGTCTGTTGTTTTCAGCTTCGAAGACTATTATTTCAACTCTGTAATGTAAAAGAAAAAACAAACTCTGTTCATGCATGATAAGCAGTCACAATTCAGCATGACTGAACAGATGGCTGAATCTCTGATATGTAGGATCACTTGACCAAGTCACAATTCTCTGTATGTCCTCCCCTAATTGCTTGAGTGCAAAGGCAGCATCCCTCAGATTGGGTTTATGTAACACTCAGCACTGGTAAAAGTTAAAAATATATTTATTTAATAAGAACAGTGCGTTAAATAAGGAATTGCGAGGACTGTCAGTAAACATGATGTCCGTGAATGGCCTGGGGAACAACAAGATAGCAATCACCTAACGAACCATTTGAATATTATCCAGCATTTAGAGCTTATGAGCTATTAGTGTTATGTATTAGATACTTTTATGACTTAATTCCTTCCCCCCTTCACCACCACTCCCAATAGCTGTAGTTGACCATTTATATTTCATACTCTGTATTGCAGTTGACTGCAGAGGTAAACATTTAATATAGGAATTATTCTGAAAAAAATTAAGTAGGTTTTTTTTTTCATTCTTGATAGTTTTCATTTCTCTAAGGCAGTGGTTCCCAAACTTGGCAACTTTAAGACTTGTGGACTTCAACTCCCAGAATTCTCCAGCCAGC